CAACATATGGTCAGTTAACAACCCCAACTGCATCATGGTAAGAACAGGCTTATTTTCAACTCTGGGGGGATGGGAATATTAATTCTAAGGCATGGAAGGTTGGGAATAGGGGAAAAGGTCGTTGAGTTGTAGGCCATGGCACTGGTAAACAGAGTTTACCAGCACAAAGCTGGGTGACTGGATTCTAGCTAAAGATAGGGACAGAATTTGGTGACTGGTGAGACCACTGCTCCAGAGAGATCTTGGGATGGATGGCTGCTTCAGCTGGGCCAGCGCTTGCTCAGATAATGAATATTGTGCCTTCTGTTACCAGGCTGCAGGTAATTAAATGCAAACTTTTGTATGAGACCAGCTAGTTTTATAGTGCAAGCTACAGGGGCCAGTTTTATACCCTGGAGTTTTCTCTCGTAGTGCTCAACATCCCCAGTGAGGTGTGTTCCCCTCTGTCCCACAGTCACTAACTGGCAGCACAAAGTGTGTCAGAATGGTTTGCTAACTTGCCTCTAGGCTGGGGAAGAGTAATGCTGGGCTCAGCGCGATAGAAAGAGCAGGGTTACCCCGGCAGTGGTCACTAAAGCACCCCATAAATATATTTAACAGGTGTCTGTCCTGCATTGCGTTTGCTTTGAGTGGGTGTTGTGGAAAACCGTCTTTAGTAAGCGTCTCTTGTCACTTGTTGAATTAACCACACAAGAACGTTGTGTTATGGAAGGGAATTCTCTAGCCAGTGTGAAACTTGTGAGGAAGAAATCAGAAAAGTAGGGTCAAAAAGGGTAAAAGGAGATTGTGTGTTGTTCCATTCACTTATGTATAAAGAGTTTGAAATGGGTGCAAAAGGAGTTGCTCATCTTTGGCAGTGCTGCGCTTCTTGCAGAGCATAGTTGAACTCTGTCTTTCCAGGCCTTTGGTGATGGCATGACAGTTGTTTGAAACCAGAGTATTGCCATCCATGAGAAGAAAGGTTGAAGGACTGCATATCTCCATACCCGTTCTGTGGGAGCAGAGAGCTGTAGCTCTCCCACACTTCCTGGGAACCACAGACGTTAGAAGCTGCTGTTTCTGAGACGCAGGGACTGACTGGAGCTGCTGGGGACTTGTGCCATTCTTGTATATCAAAATAGTCTTGATTCTGGGGGTTGTGCCATATATTTTGTCCTCTGAAATTAATCTTTAGTGTTTACATTGTTAGGATTCTAGATGTTTGTGTGTTGGGGAAGAGGCAGAAGAGAAAATTTTCAAGTAGCTTTGTGGCTTGGTTCAAGTGTGAGCTCTATTTCTCACCCAGCAGTGACAGTTGCACCTGTAGAGTATGTGGAGGATTTGAGTTGCATGTGAAATCCTAAGAAAGCCCCACTGGAACAGGCAGCTTTCAGCTGGCGTTCCCAGCCTCTCGTGTGTGGGAGACACGGAACCATCTTACCTGTTTGAAAAGACCTGTTTGAGGATGGAGTGAAGCATAGAATACTGCCTAATTGACAAGGAAAAAGTCTACAATAGGGGTTCTGGTTTTCTAGGGCTAGTTTTAAATGTTCTTCTGTTTAATTAAATACTGGCCTTTTCAAAATACTTAGGTAATGTGTAAGCTTTTAGATGCTCTAAGATGAAAGGAAGTGCATACATGTGAAGTACTACCTTATGCCTCAAGTTAATACTTCAGTAATAGCATCATGTTACCACTGTGACACCCATCGCTGACGGCAATGGATGGCTCCTTGCTTATGTGAAGATTTCGAAGTAGCCCTGCTTTTGCTCTTGCTTTGATTTTGTAACCAGTTCATGACACTTAGTTGACCCATTTACAGCAAACACCATGCCGTTGTGCTTGCAATGCATAATTTTTATAATGTAAGGATGTGTCAGCCTTGTCTGGGCACCCACACCTAATGTTTAACTACCCATGTCTCTGGTGATACATCCTTTGAAAATTAGTCAGCGTGCCCCAGAAAGTGGGATGACGTGGAAGATCTGTGCACGGTGCTGTCTGCAGTGATGGTCTTTAGGATGTTCTACCATGCTGGTAGCTGATGAGGAAAAAGGAACAGTGGCACAACCAGGTGGTCCCAACTCATGGTCAAACCCTTCAGTTATCAACTGAGTACAAACACTGCCACTGTGGGCAGGGCTGTGTCCATAGCTGTTGATTGTGACTCGCAGTTTTCTTTGCAGAGCTTGATAGGCCACACGACGCCCATTGAGAGCCTACAGATCAATAAAAATGAGAAACTCATCGTTGCAGGGTCCCAGTCAGGGTCCATTCGCGTTTGGGACCTGGAAGCTGCCAAAAGTATGTTTCCGTGAGTTTTCACTTCTGTTAATGCACGCTTTTTGGAATATCCTTATGCTTAATATCTGTGCTGACCCAGAGGGTTCCGAACTTAAGAAGGAGCCAGGTGCCTGGTGTTGCTTTTATCTTAATTTCCATCCCTCTTAGAGGGCTTTAGTGCACTTCGTACTGAGACTGTAGAGCTGGGTCTGCACACTCGAGCAGAAAATTGTGCATGTATTATGGAGACTGATTTGAGGAATTAGTTTCTAGGGTTTTGACCCAAGTGTGTTGAAACCTATATTCCAGATCAGTTTCCATGCATGTGTAGAGTAACTAGGTTTACAGAGTTTGTCTTCAGAGTCTCAGATTAAAATTGAGAACCTTAATAAAAAGATCCAAAATCAGATTGGAAGTTTTAAGTCTATTAGGTTCCGCAGAAGTCCAGGAATCCGCTGCTTGCTGATCCTCTTGCTCTCGTTCTTGGGTTTTAACTTTTCTCTTTTTCCTCAAGTGATTTTTCTCTTCTGCTCTTGCATGACCATGTGAATAGACAAAGACATAATTTTTAATAAATCACAAAAGCTATGAAGCTAAGTTGACCCTTAAGGGCCAACTGTTGAGTCATGTTTTGTTTATTGCATTTTTCTCAGTTCCTAGAGCAAGTTTACAAAGGTATCATGAATCACTTGAGTGTATCCCAGCCAGAATACTGTAAAATGACTGTATACTTCTTATAGGTTGCTACTTGTTCATAAAAAGAATGTGTATTGAAAATAGATTTACAAGAGCAGGTGGCATAAATAATAAAAAGATTCAGACAGTTAGAATCAGTTCAGTTATAAAACAGTTTGGCTGTACCAGTGGAGAGTAACTGATCTGGCTGAATTTATTAGGAGGCCTGTGAGCCAGAGTCTGTGCAAATGACCACTCCACGTTTGGCTCAAGAGCTAATTTCTACCAGGGGAATCATCAGACTGTCCCAGATGAGGGATGATGGAGAGAGATTGCCCCTTTTACTGTCTGAGCAATTTTTCTTCCATGAAATTGAGTTCTGCATTTGTCTCTGCTTTCTGAAATATGGTGTACGAGTTCTACTGGTCCTTTCTGGTCTCCAGAATTACAAAAGGTGTTACTTGGTTTATGTCTTGCTGAAACAATGATCATTTTTTTTGTCACGCTTACTAAGCTTCCTTTCTTGGTGTCTGGGACGCTTCTTGCAAGGGAGTCCAGTACCAATATTGGAATGTAAGAGGCAGCAGTTGGGCTTCTGCTTGGATGGGAGTGCACAGTCCCAGGAAAGGTTCTGTAATAGCTGCAAAGTGAACAATTCAGGCAGTCAAACATCCCTTTCTCTTCCTGGCTAAAACTGTGTTTCTTTCCCTGCCCCCATTTTGCTCTCTTTGTTTCAAATGGGAAGATGTTCTGCCTGGCAGCTGCTTCAGTGTGGCTGCTTAGCTTTATTTTCTGATTGGAGACCTTCTGGTTTTATTTGTAGTTTTCAGACCTAAGGACAGGATTTTCATTAGGATCATTGAATCCGGGTCCTCTGTTGCTGTTTCTTTGCACTGCAAGGGTAAAATCAGAAATATTTCCACTAAAAATATGTGCAGATGAATAAACAGTTTGTAACACGTCTAATGTATGTTGTGTTAGCATGTTTAACGGTGAGGGTGGTATGGCTAAACTGCTGCATGCTGTTTAGGGGAATCGAACTACTAAATATTTGCTCCCTATTCTTTCTCCCTGCTCTGCTTCTCCTTTTCCCAGTTCTTCGTGCCTTACTGGGTCACAAAGCGAATATCTGCAGCCTCGCTTTCCATCCTTTTGGAAGCTTTGTGGCATCTGGCTCTTTGGACACCAACATTAAGGTAAAGCTCAGGTTCCCAAAGAGATTACCCGCTTTATTTCCAGAATCCTTGTTACGCAGAGCGGCAGGATGTGTTTTGTGCCAAGCTGTTGGTAGATGCTGTACATCATCATTTCCATGTGTGTGGGCAGGTGTATTTGCAAGTGCTTGTGAAATTCATGCGTGTATTTTCAGTGGTAGCTCCTGAGTGTGACTCCTCTGTTGTGGAATGTGACTCAGAGTTAGGTGCCAGCCAAGACCTAGTGTCAGCAAGCGCAGATGTCCTGACTGCTGTGGCTTGCATCTGCTTCGTCAGGCTCATATTTGGCTGTAGGAGCTGAGCTGCTGTAGTAAGAAATACCTTCCAGAAGTGATTCTCACTTGGGGAATAGGTTATAAAATACCCCTGAAGCAAACAGGGGTTTAACAGCCCCTTCAGTATTTTCGTTCTGTGATGTTTATGAGCTTGGTGACAGGGAGAGCTCTTGTTCTGATGGGACTCTTGGGCTCCTCACATACTGCTCTAAGCATATCTTTTGTTTGCTTTTCTTTCCTGTAGCTCTGGGATGTAAGAAGCAAAGGTTGTGTCTTCAGGTACAAGGTAAAATGCTTCATTAGTTTTCAGGCGAAGAGGAGAGAAAGATTTCTTTTGAGAACTTGAGAGCAAACTTAAAGTGATTATGTGTAATTAACTTCCTAGTTTTCCAGTATGTAAATAAGTTCTGCACAATTTATGAAGTGGTCTGGCAAACCTCGTCTGTGAACTGTATGAGAATATGACAGGGATATTGTATGAGTTAATGTACTGTAATCTGGTTGGCTTCAGTGGGGAATGAAGAGCATCCATGAGTGTTTCTTTATACTGTGGCTGATATTACTATGCACATCTCCACTGCACTGAAATGGTTCTATTCTTGGGGCCTTTTAATTTCATTTAGAAACCAACTTAATGGCACAGCAGTTCTATCTGACTACCCATAAATCTGTGTAATTTAAAACTGATTCTTATTAAGCCAGATCTGTATTTACTATACTTAAACTGATGCAGAAATTTCTAGATGAGAGAGATTACACCTGTTTATCATGGTTGGGTTTAGCTTTTGAGTGTAGTGTTCTGTGAGCTGTGGACTCTGTGAAACAGTTACTTGATTTTATTTTATTATATTGTATAGGATCGAAAGACTAAAGCCAGAATTCCCTCTAAAGGAAGGAAAAAAATAACCTATTTGTTTTTCTCATTTCAGGGTCACACAGAAGCAGTTCGATGTCTCCGCTTTAGTCCTGATGGGAAATGGTTAGCCTCTGCTGCTGATGATCACACTGTAAAGGTAATGTATTGTGACACTCATATGCTTGTGGCAGATAGGAATGTAGAGATCATCTTTTTACCAGGCATTACCAGCACTTGCTCACAAACACCTTTATTTCATTAGGCAGCTGGCTGAGCCCTGTGGCTTTGCAGGGACCAGTCTGTTTCTGAGGATCATGTCCAGTGGCCCACAATATTTGCTTCACTAGACCAGTATCTGGCTCCCCTCATTCACTAGGGGTGTGTTATCATATGCGTTGCACTTGATTATTAGTCTGAAAATTGCTGTCAGGACTGTGCAGAGTGAGAGGAGGAGTTCAGATAACTATCCACTGAAGCAGCTACCTTAGTTGTTTCAGATGTGGTATGGAGGAATGTGGGTGAAAGCATGATTTTTGTGTTTGGTTTCACATGGAATAAACTGGTTGGTCATTTCACTCTGGATTTTTCTGTGGAGAGTAGAGCACAGGAAGAATGAATTGCAAAGGGATTCAGAGCTTTTGGATTTTTGTTTGTTCACTTTTGAGGTATAATCTGTGGGACCAGGTGAAACTGCTGTATTTTACCCTAGTTTCTAAATATAAACCAGAAAGTTCTAGGGGACAAATTAAATGGAAAAGTTAAGAGTGCCAAAAGAAAAATCAAGAAAAAAATGTAAAAAATGCAGCCTTAGATGACTGGGACAATAGTCTGTTCTTGGAGTGGGAGGAGTGTTAGAAGGTTGCCAGTACAAGGAAATCCAAAGTGTATTGGAATTCTCTAACATTAGATCTTTTCAAGAGTCTCTCTGTTCTTTCCTTCTTCCAGCTGTGGGATCTGGCTGCTGGGAAGATAATGTTTGAGTTTACGGGACATACTGGCCCAGTAAACGTTGTTGAATTCCATCCCAACGAATACCTTTTGGCTTCTGGCAGCTCTGACAGGTACATAAGGGGAGGGAGAAAGAAGGGAATTGTATATGCCACTTCCTTTCCCCATGTCCTTCCTTTAAGGAATGTAGAAAATAGGAATTTTCCACCACTCAAACCTGCCATTGCAAAAGCCTGACATCTGTCCAGCAGCACATCACATTTGTGATGCACACAACATGGAAATCTTACCCTCTCATCTAAAATTGATCGCAGCTTCTGCCACACTAGAAAACAATGAGATAGCCTCAAGCATCTCACTAATCCAGCTGATGTCATATCTGAACAGCAAACAGTCCTGTTCAGCTAGCGGGGTGTTCTAAGCTCCGGATCAGCTCTAAATACCTGAGCCTCTAAGCATCTGTGTCTGGATTCATGGATCTTAGCTAGCGTTCTGTGTAGGTTCATCGTATGTGCACAGCAGCAAAAGTCCTTCTAGCTATTAGCATATTATTTCAATACTGGATCCTACAGTAGATCTCTAGAAGGATGGGTGATGATTTTTTGTTCTCTTGTGTTTATAGGACTGTTCGGTTCTGGGACTTGGAGAAGTTTCAAGTTGTGAGCTGTATTGAAGAGAAGGCTACTCCTGTCAGGTATACTAAATTCCTACTGCAGTGTACTAGGAAGAGACTAAAGTGAGGGTGAAGGGAGGATTTTCTGAAAGACAGACTTTACTGGGGAGAACTTTAAGCTGCTTGAGATGCTGCACAGATGAACATCAGATCGGTAGGTTCATCGCTGGAAGTGGGGCTGGAGGTGTTCAGTGAAGTCAAGATTACGGCCCTGGGATCCCTGTGGGACTGAGCAGGGTTGAAAGCTGTGCCTGATTCTCCCCCTGTCTTCCTCCCAGGTGTGTGCTCTTCAACCCAGATGGCTGCTGCTTGTATAGTGGCTTCCATGATTCGCTGCGTGTGTACGGCTGGGAGCCAGAACGCTGTTTTGACATGGTCTTGGTGAACTGGGGAGAAGTAGCTGACTTGTCTATCTGTAACAACCAGCTGGTAAGCCACTGCTCATGAGGAGTGGGGGAGGCAGCTGAGAAACACAAGATAAAATCCTCCTGTCTTCTTGCACACCTTCTGACCTTTAAGCTTGTGGCCAGGGCTTGCAATGTGCTTAGAACTTAGAGCTTGTGTGCTTTTGCTTTCAGCAGCCTTGTGCTCTACTTCATCTCTTTTTGGCTTCTGGAAGAAAGAGCTAGGTCTTGGTTTGACCAGTATTTAGAAACTGAGCTTGGCAAACGTTTGATCAATAAAACATTGGCAGGTTCAGATTGAAAAAGACAAAGCACTGAACTGAGAAATTCTTAAGCATGGTTGCTCAGAGTCACTCCATGTCTGTTCTCAAAAAGGCTAACATACACCCAGCTCCTTGGTGATTACTGTGATGTTTTACCTCTGCAGATAGGAGTTTCCTTTGCACAAAACACAGTCTCTTCCTTCGTTGTGGATCTCAGCAGAGTCACAAAGTCTGGTTCCATTCCTCGTGGGCTGCTCAGAGATGATGAGCCTCTTGTGCCACCTACCCCAACGGGTTCCTCCATTCGCCGCATCTATGATAGGCCCTCAACTAGCTGCAGCAAGCCACAAAGGTAAGGAAATCTGCTGACTTGCAGGATTTCAAGATTTTAAGGAAATGAACAAGGAGCTTAGTGCTTTCACACTCTCTAACAGAGTCCATATGGCTTGCCCTGACAGCATCTCTTTTTCCACAGCAGAGTGAAGCACAACTCAGAGAGCGAGAGGCGCAGCCCCAGCAGCGAAGATGACCGGGATGAAAAGGAATCAAAGGCTGAGATCCAGAATCCAGAGGAGTACAAAGAGATCTTTCAGCCCAAGAATGCTATTTGTCAGTACCAGGGTTTATTGTGCTTTTGAGTGGTTTGGATTAGAGTTGTAGGTGCAAAACTGGTCCACTAGGAGTGAGCTTTGGCTTACTATAATAGAGGCTTCATCAGTAACTGGAAGAGTTTAGCAAACTTCTATTTAATATTCTGTGTTTGGACTCTGAACCACAGGTCATGTAGGTAAACTGCTGGAAGGTGGCAACTTTAGTGGAGTGCAGAGATGTCGCGTCAAAGCCTGGCTCAAAATCCAGAGCTACGTTGTAAGCACATTGCCTTTCTGTCCTGATTAGGATGGACTCTGATTAGGACTCTGTTACAGGATCTTTATTAGCTTAGAATTTTGTTATGTATAAAGTCAGCAGCCTCCATTAAAGAAGAAAAGGCAAAATGTTTTGTTAATGCTGAGACTGTTGTTTAGGAGGCATAGTGCAATGCCTGTGTCTTATTTTTATGTAAATGACAAAAATGAGATCCTTTTCCTAAGGAATTAATATTCATTATTTTGACTTATGTAAATCAATTTAGCAGGACGTGAATATTTTTCTAATATAATTTGTTGTGGCAATGCCTTTTCTTCACACTTCTACAGCAGCAATGAACTACACAGGTCAGTTCTGTCCATTCCATCCATGAAAGCTGAAAGCCTTTGGCTAAACTCAATAGCATCAAGGTCTGAAGGAGATAACTGTGCTTGTCGAATCACTGAGTGCCCTAATCTGTGGAGCAGTTGGAGATCTCACAGCTCCAAGGTTGACCTACTGCTAATCTGTAGCCTTGAATGCTCCTTTCTTTATTTATTTCTCTCTGTAGGTCGAACTCCTCCTCGAAGTGAACCTTTTCCTGCCCCTCCAGAGGATGGTGAGTATGAAAATGACCTCTTGGTGGGAATGGGTTGAATGGCCTTCAAAAGAGGGAAAGCTGAATGCAGAAAGGACTACTTGTGCTCTAGCTATGCAGAACCTTTGCTCACAGCTTCTCTTGAAAGGAATTATTAGTTTCTGCTTTCTCACTTCTTTCCATCTTGGTAGAGCCTGTAACTGTGAAGGAAGCAGTTAAGCCCAGCCAAGTGGATGTCCAGACCTCGTTGCCCAAGCAGGAACTCGTATGTACTGTATAATTTGTTTAAAGCTGTTCACAATCTTGCTCTGAAAGATATGCAAGTGCTGGAGACTTTGATTTCTAATCAGGCTGATTGCTTTACTGAAGAGCATTAAAAGTACAGCTCCAGTCTTTGTCCTGCCGTGTGTCTTGCCTGAGCAGTAGAATTGAAGGCCGAGCCTCTGGCAGGTGATGGCTTTATTGCTGTTGGTTGTTTAGCGAACTTGCAGTGGTGTTTCTCCTTGCATCTGAAAATTGGGGCACTCTGAAGAGAACCAAGTGCCAGATTTCCGCAAGTGCTTGAACTGAGGCTGTTTTGTAGCCGCAACTGCAAGCAGCCATGAGCCAGGATACGTTACACTGGCTTCTTTAGAATTCTCTTTGCCTTCAGGCTGGTCATGGACTATTGCCCTGATTTTGAATGCTGATAACAATGACAACACTTGGCACTACTGCTGCGATATCTCCATGTTCTTTGCAAACCTTAATTACATCTTGGCATGTACCTGAGAGATACTTTATTGCCTCTTAAAGTATGCTAGCAAATTGGCGACTGCTTCTGCATTAGGACCCTGCTTGGAGCGGAAAGTGGGTCAGGAAAAAAAGGACATTGCAGACTACGGCCAGATTGTTGCTGCCAGAGCTTTTATCCCAATTTCTCCTGCAGTCTGATCCAGTTCAGAGGCCACCAATTGCTTCCTCCACTCCCATGACAAGAACAGAGCCATCGGTGATACCTGCGGCCAGGAATGAGCCCATTGGCTTGAAGGCCTCTGATTTTCTACCAGTAGGTGTCTCTGGACAAAGGTTTCCAGCCAGTGTCTGTGCTGGGTGGCATCAGAAAGGGGATTCTCTGAGGTGCAGAAGTGTCTTTGGTGCTTTCTGCAGCCTGCAGTCCTCAGTACTGAATGAGAACACGTTACCTTGTGCTCTTCCTCTGCTCACTTGGTGCTTCCCCTGCCAACTCTGCTGCCTCCCAGCTCCTTTGACCTGCAGTTTCTGTGCAATGGGCTCTGGGTCCAATTGTCATTGCGATTGACAGCAGGCTGATGTGAACACGGCAGCATTGATCCGTGCTCACGAAGGTGTTACCAAAGCAGAGAGCAAGGGATGAGAGACACACTGAACAATTCCACATGCTAGACAGTGATTCATTTAGAAAACTGGTGTCTGCCATTACACATACAGAGTTGTTTTGTGAGGATCTGCCTCTTGCATCTCTGGGGTCTCTTGACCTCTCTTGGGATGGTATTCCCTGTCCCAAAAAGGGAGAAGGACCAGAGCATCCTGATGATCCCAGACTTTAAATGTGAGCAGAGGAAGTAGTGGTTTCATTGTGGCTTGGGCAGGAATTAAATTGAAGGTCTAATAAATTGTGTAAGGTTTATGCTGTGTAATAAAACTTGCTGATTTCAGATGAGTGTCTTACATTAAAAAATGGGGTTTGCATGAAAACATTTCTTTATCAAAACATACTGATTTTGAAAGCTTACTTTTAATTCACCTTTTTTTAATTTTGAAAGTTTCCAAAGCTTCAAACGTGTTTGTGATTGATGTAATAGAAAAGGCAGAAGTAACTGAAATCAGAACAAATTGAGCATTTCCATTTCAAAATGTTTCTGAAACTATCTGCAAGGATGTCAGTGTTTACTGGCACTCAGTACACCAAAATAATCTCTCACCAAGTCCAGAGTAAGCTCCTACCCTTCTATGCCATCCTGCTCTGTTGTTGCTGCTGCATTAATGCTGGTACTTTCAGACTCTGAAAAACCAAAGCCCGACCGAGCTGGTGGATGAGGACGCCATGTCGCAGATCAGGAAGGGGCACGAGACTATGTGTGTGGTACTCGCCAGCCGCCACAAGAACCTGGACACCGTGCGGGCTGTGTGGAGCACTGGTGACATCAAGGTAAGGACGTGGACATACCTGAGGCTCATGAGGGGAGCAGCTGAGCAGCTCTTTTTGCTTGTCTGGGGCCTATTCTGTCCAAAATGCTGAGTCTCACAGCTGTTGCCATCAAGGGTGCCCCAGAGAGTGCTGCTGTGTCCTACCTGCTGTTAAATGGTCACAAAAAATGTGGAGGAAGCTTCCTCATGTGATACTTATCTTCTCTTCCCTAGTCTACTCCACATTTCCTCTACCTTGGTTTTGAAAAGTGGCACTTGATATTAATTTCATTAGCCTCACCAATTTTGAGCTTTGCAATAAGTGACTTCTTCCCCCTCTCTCTCTCAGAACTCTGTGGACTCTGCAGTGGCGATCAACGATCTTTCTGTTGTTGTGGACCTCTTGAATATCATCAACCAAAAAGCGTGAGTTGTGGTTGGGGGCAGCCCCTGGGATACCTGAGGGCGCCAGGAGTGCTGTATTACACTGACCTTGTGGCCAGTGGGCTGTGGCAGCGTGAAATGTGTGTACCTGTAGTCAGATCTTCAAGTCTGCAGTGCCAGTAACTGCTGGAGTTGTATGGGGCCTTTTCTATGGGTAAATGATCTCTCACAAGGAAAATCGAAATCTTAGGGCTTCATAAAGCGATTCTGCTTTGTCAGTGAAATACGTCAGAACCTGCCACTTTCTATCACAAGGAGGAGTCAGTGAACTTGAGTGCCACTGCCTGGGCTGTTTGTTTTGGTTTTTTTTTGCCAGAAAGCATTATTTGTCAACTCAGCCTTGTGAAGCCTCAGTCTCTGGTCTCAGAACCTGTCCTTTTCTTCTCAGGTCTCTCTGGAAGCTGGATTTGTGTACTATAATCCTGCCACAGATAGAGAAACTACTCCACAGTAAATACGAAAGGTGAGACCCCAAGGACATGGTGTGCTGAGGGGGACAAGGTGTGGATATTCATAGGAGAGCTCCGCTGAGTATTTTGTAGCTGAAAGAAAATCCTGAAAAGTCACAGCAGATACAGGATAACGCCAATACGATGTATGGAAGAGCAGTGGAATTTCCAAGTGTGGGGGAAAAAGACATGGAAAGTATGCACGGGCAGAAAGAGCGGGACGTTGAAATCGGTGTAGGTGTGTTAGATTGAAGGCACCTCTGGCAGCCAGGAGAGCGCAAATCAGTCTAGAACAAGTGAGCTCTGTGCACTGATGGAGATGAAACTGTTGACTTGTGACAAGGAGAATAAATTCTCACAACAGCTGTGGGGTCACTTGGAAGATTGCTTTGAACCTTATTGTTGGGTGGCAAAAAAATGGAACCTCACTCTGAAGGTGGAGGTTCTGTTTTCCCTTCCTGCTGGGAGAGAGGCTCCTGGCAAGTCCCCTCACAGGACATCTCTGCTCTGGAGCAGAAGGGTCCCATGTAGCAATGTGTATGCCAGAACCTTTCGAAAGGGCTCACTTTGTCAGTCTTGACTCAAACCAAGACAAGTTGGTACTTGGTTGTTGCTCTCCTTACCAGGTTATGGGTGGTGGCAGGGGTGTTGTTGGAGTCCGTCGTCCCCAGTGACTGGATACGAGTGAGGGGTGTGTGCTGGTAGGACAGAAATGAAATTCAAGTGGGACCCCATTCTCTTTTTTTCAGTTATGTGCAGACTGGCTGCACCTCCCTGAAACTCATTCTCCAGAGATTTCTGCCACTGATCACAGACATCCTCGCTGCACCACCTTCTGTCGGAGTGGACATCACCAGAGAGGAAAGGTGAGGCACTTACCTTCACTTGTTCCCTTTTTGAACCAGCCTTGCTCTTGGGTGAGCTTTGCTCCTCACCATACAGGCTTTGATACTAGACTGAGCTTGCAAACACCTTTTGTCTGCAAACACCAAACCCTCCTACTCTTGAGAAAAAGACCAAGGACTGCTTTTCCCTCTGTCACCATATACTGAGTCATACCTAAACAAAGTGTGAGTCTGTCAGGAGTAAAACCACCTTGTGGCTTCACCCTCTACCTCACAAAGACACATGAAGTGTTAGCCAAGCCCTGGATTTCCAGTTCATTCACAGGATAGCTCTGCTCTGAGAACTGGCCCTCCAACACCAGCACCTCCTTCTTCCCTGGACTTTACTGCCGAAGGGGAAAAGAGGAGTGGAAGAGCCCTTATGTAGCTGCCATTCTCCTGTGTCATCAGGATGTGGGCTGAATACCTCAGCTTCTTCCAGGCCATTTGCAGGGCTTGTGTTTTCTCTCCTGCTTGAGTTGCAGCTTTGGTGCTACAGGAGCAAGCACATCCCTTAAGCAGCTGAGGGTTTATGCTGTGTCTGCTCTCTGTTTTTTGCAGGCTCCATAAATGCAAGCTGTGCTACAAGCAGCTGAAAGACATCAGCAACATCGTCAAGAACAAGTCTGGGCTCAGCGGCCGCCATGGTAGTGCCTTTCGGGAACTGCATCTCCTCATGGCTGTCCTGGAATGACAGCTGCCACCTCCTCACCTGCAAACACAAGTGGCCAAGCTCTTCTCTGCTCTTGGTCTGGCTGAATTTCGCCTCTCTCCGTGTGTCCGTCTTCCCCTCTCAGCACGGTAGTGAAGTGGAATCTTGCTGTTTGGTGTCCTGCCCAGCTCCAGCACCTTACGGGCTGGGTGGAGGACCTGAGCGGAGCGAGACCTGTGCTGTGTGTGGGGACCTGGCTGGCAGAGGGCCCCACAAAGCCTCTGTAGGAAAGCAGCTTCATTTCAGCTCTTCATCTCATCAAGCTCTCAGTTGTTCTGTCTCTGTGCTGGCTTTTCCCTGATGGGAGGACTCTGAATCTGCTATCACCCCTCCTCACCTGTGTGTGCTGTCAGTTCTTGTCGCTTGGCTCTGTGAGCCGGAGGCCAGCTGGCCCCGCTCTCTGTGTGCAGCACGCTGAAGACTCTGGTGTCTGCCCCACCAAAGCCTGCTGTGGCGTGGAGTGCCCTTTCCCTGCAGAAGGGACTTCAACTGCCATGTGGGGCTGGCCCTGTTGGTTTGCTTCATCAAACATGAGCCAGGATGTGATGCCACCATGCCTGGTGTGGCCTCAAGGACCTGTGTTGAGAGGAGGCTGTCTCTTGGCTTCTCCAAAATTATCACTCAAGATTATTGTCTTCAGACTTACTGGGAACTGAGGCCTACCTGGGTCTGTTAAAATCTGACTTGATCAGGACTTGTATGTGTTTGCCTTTAGGGGTAAGGATTTGGGAGGGTGGAGGAACAGAGGGCTGAGGACTAAAGTCTTTCTGCATCCACTGAACCACTCTTAGAGGGTTGTTTGATTTTGTTTTGTTTTTCTTCTCCCCAATAAATACCTGTCATAACCTTTCTGTCCCTCTTTCTTCTTTCCTATGGGGAAAGAGGTTTCTGTTGGTGCTTTACCTGCTCCTCCCAGCCTCTCTTCTATTTTATACACTGGAGCCTGTTCTCTGGGAAACTGTAAGTTATTATGAATTTTATTAAAAGATTTGTAATGTGTTTTTTTTTTTTAAAAAAAAAGTTGTTAAATGCCTGAATCTCTGGAAGTACCATTCACTTTGGCACAGCTTCTGGCTGGGAGTGTCCAGGGAAAGCAGGGCTCTGTTCCCTGTGTGTCCCAGGGGAAGCCAGCTGTTCTCACCCTTCCTGCTGGGTGGATGCCGTGAGCAAGTCACAGAGGCACTGGGAAGTCGCAGAGACAGCACTCGGGTGGTTTGCTGAAACCCTGGGGGAGGTTTCGCTCTGCTGGGTAGTTCCCAGCTCAAAGAGCAACATCATCATTTGTGGCTTGTCCCTCTCCCCACCTGGTCTCTAGCAGCTCTTGGTGCAGTGGCAGGGCCTTGTCTCTGGTTTTCTGTGAGCTCCTGAGCCAGGTGCTGGTGTTTGGAGATGCAGGAGGCTGTTTCAGGGGACTATAATGGGGCCACCAGGAAAGCTAAAGCTGACCCCTACTGTGTTGTGACTTCGTACAAACACACTTGAGTTTTAGGCATGAAGGGGAGCGTCCCGCTCTTCTCCAAGGCGCTGGAGGAGATGGCTCTGATGGTGGCTCACACAGGACAGCACAGCAGTGCATGGACCCCACTGAGATCTGAAAAGGCTCCTCCGGCCCTGGACAGCCTGAAGAGCTGAGAGAAGGCTGAGATGGAGCAAGATCCTGCAGTGCTGGGGCTTGCTTAGGGTTTAACTCCATCTCCTGCTAATTAAGGGAGTCTGATAGCTGCAATCTGGGAAGGGGGATTTAAAGCAAGAGGACTGATGTAATGGGCTTTTCCAGCCAAGCACCAAAGGAGTGGGTAGGGAGATGCTATGCAAGCAGGAGGAAGCACCCACCCCAAGAAGAGTTCAAACACGCTGCAGGGAAATAACAGCAGTGCAGAATGATTGGCTTTAACAGTTTATTTAAAATAACTTTTGTTACAAAACAGGATTTTTTTAAATTATTAAAATACATAGAAACATCTAATCTTACAAAAGGCTAAATTTATTTTTCCCTTTTTTAATAGAATATGCTGTGGAAGAGTGAGAGGAGAGGGTAGCGATGGGGAAGAGCCATCAGTGCATCCAGTTGGTTATTTGCAGCAGAAATAAGGTACCCATGGGTGGGAGCTCAGAGGTGCAGGGGACAGTGCTCTCCTCCCACCCCCCCCGCCACATAAACCAACAGGCTTTTGGCCTGAGGCTTGAGGTTTTTGTTTGGTTTTTTTCCACTTGTTTTCTGTTCCAAGACCATGTAAACAAGGTATAAATATTTCAAACACTTTCATCTCGACCATGCTGTGGTCTCTCTTAACAAGACAACTGGTAATAACTTTACAATAGCTTCATTTGAGACTGCTAAATCCACCCTGGTGCTGTGTAACCCTCTGTGCCCGTGCGGGGCCCTAGAAGTACCAGCACCAGGATGAAGGGCAGCTCGGCTCATGCACAGCACCGGGGCACCTTCATGCAACAACGGGGCTTGAGAAACTTATGGGGAAAGGAGCTGCTGGGATTCTTTTTTTTTCTGGCTTAAAATGCAGTCTGGGGGGTAGCAGAGACTTGGCTGGGGGCTCACCCAGCCCCACCTCCAGCCAGGTACCTGCACTGTTGTAAAAACAGCTGGAGCGACAGCGGGAGCACCCAGCACCTCCCTGCTCCGGCTAAAACCAGCTGGCCAGGGAAAATAAAAAGTGAGGGAGGTGAGCATCTGAGGGGGCAGATCCCTGCCCAGCACCACTGTTCCCCACAATAGATGGGGGTTCAGCTTCTGGGAGACCCTGGCCCCACACTGCTCACGGTGGTCACTGGTCCTACAGGCGAGGGGATGGCACCAAAGCTTTCCTGTCTTCCAGCATCCAGCTCCCCATAGCACCATGAGGGGCTGGGTCCTGTAGTGGGTTTGGTGCCAGGGATGGCACTCGTCACACGGGGACTGGCCTCAGCTTCCCTGGGGAGAGACATGCGTAGGTCACACTGGGCAGGGGGCACGGCTGCCACTGCCACAGCCCCATCCACCAGTACCATGAGCATCCCCACCAGCATCCCTGCGAGCAGCACAGCCCAGCATCCCTGCCCTGCCCGGGAAGCGGGGCCCAAGCAGAGCCCGCCACCGGCTCCTCAGCCACGGCTGCCCCTAATTCAGGCTGAAATCAAAGGGGAGAGAGGTTCAGCCTGGGGGTACTGCAGCTGCCCTGCAGCATTGCTTCCTGTGCACCTCAAGCCGCTGGCACCAGGGTGCTCTTGGAGAAGTGCTAACCAGTCTCCCTATGGCTAATTAGCCATTAGTTAATGAGCTGATTACAAATCAGCTTGCTTCTCCACATGCCTGCCAGTATCCAGCTGAGACGAGGCTGGTAATGGAAGCCTCCTCTGATGGAGGGACTGCAGTGCCTGAGCACCCACCTGAGGTCTGGAGCTTCCTGCGGATGGAGGCGGCACGGCTGGAGAGCTGCCCCGGGCTGGGGGACGAGTGGCTCCGGGCAGGGGTTGCTGTGGTCCCTGGCAAGTCACCCTGGGGGGAGATGGGGCATGTGTCTGCTTGGGTTGCAGAGGGAAAGGATGGGGATGAGCTGGGAGGCAGATTGTGCCCGCCTGTGTAGCAGTGTCCAAATAGGCTCTGTGGGTACCACGGGGCTGTCACAGAACAGGGCTTGGAAGAATCAAGGTGGCAGCAGTGGCTGGACACCACTGTCTGGGGAGAGCCTGCCTCCCATCGGGTGATGCTCAACTGAGGTGGCTCCAGGGCTCCCAATGGCAAACAGCTCTGGAGACCATGCATGGGGGCAAAACAGGGAGACCCCTGGGGTGAGGGGGAAGAGGAATGGCTGTGATGTCCCCTTGGTTACCTCCAGGTGCTCCTGGCTGGGCCAGGAGAGCAGCTCAGTCTTGCGGGAAACGGGACCCAGCTCCACGGAGCGAACCCTCTCAGCAAACTTGAGGGAGCACAGCGTCTCACTGGTGTTCTTCTCAGCTGGGGAGACCTGCAGCCAGGCAGGAGCAGGCAGAAAGTCACCCCCTGGCTGCCTGCACACCCCTAGGGCTCCCCCATCCTGGCAAATATGGGTGCCAGGCTGGCGAGGTGCTATTATTAACCTGCTGCTCCCAGGATAGCCCCGAGCCAGCCGGGTCCCCTGTCACCAACTGCCCCGGTGCGAGGGACAGCTGGGAGAAGCTGCAGCAGGTGGTGGGGGCTTGGGGACCTCTCTGAGAGGCCTCAGTGCAGACACAGGCAGCATTTAGGGCAGGGGCAATCACAGGGCAGGGATGGAGAAGCTTCCAGAGCGTAATAATCTTCCCATAGGGACAGCATCTGTTGGCAGGATCAGGGACCTCTGAGTACACCACCCATCCTTTTTTTTTTTCTGGGGGGGCAAAGATGGGGGCAAAGATGGGGACAGACCTGCCCCTGGCAGCCCATAAATATCCCCACACACACAGGCCCCATCCCCTCATCCCAGCCAAGCTCCTGCATCCAGCATCCCACCTGCATGCCCCAGCACCAGGGTGAGCAGGGACCAAACTCATCCCCTAAACCACACCAACTGAACGCAGAGAATGCTGCACCCCTACCTGCACCATCATGAGGGTCTTGCTGTCGCCGCTGAGCGAGTCCTGTAGCAGGTAGGTCAGTTTGGAGTTGCGGAAGGGCACATGGCCCTGCCGGGACCGCAGGGCGTAAATGACATCCCCCAGTGCCGAAAGGGACTTGTTGATGTGCTGTGCCTCACGGAGCCGGCTGCCCTCCGCACCCGAGCGCCCGACCCGCTCTGAGCCCGCCAGGTCCACCAGGTTCAGCTTCCCTGGGGACA